AGGGAAGATCCCATCTCCTCCTGCCTGCTTAACCACTGCAGACAAAGAGATCTTAAGTACATTCTACTGAAGAGCCTCTTCATTGCCATTATATCACACTCTCTGAGACTCCATAAAGTGTCAAGATGTTCTCCTTGTTGTTTGCTCATTGAATCACTTTTAAAAGAGTACAAACAATTTCTTTAAAAATGATGAGACCGTTGAAAAGATTAAGTGAAATGATGTGCACAAAGTTTCTTCTACAATGTTTGGCATGTTGCAGTTTCTTAATAAATTGAGTCATCATTTCCTTCTAAACCTGGACTGGTGCCACAGTCAAGCCATCAGGTTCCAGGCCAAAGCCTAAAGTTACCGTGGCCTCCTGCCTCATAGACGGTTAAGCACAAAGATCCACAAAATCCAGCCATGGCAGTTGTCAGTTTATTGCCTCTTAGTTCCAATGCACCTTGCAGCACTGTGATAAACAGAATTCCTTTAAGTATTTCTCCTTTAAAGTGTGAGCCATGTTATGCTTTTGCAATAAAGAGCACTAGAGGGATGTAGCAGGAAGAAGAGGGTTGTTTTTTTTTTTTTTTTTATAATTTCCAGCTTGGGCTGGGGGTCAGCAGTAGAAGTATGAGAATAGCCAATGACTTCTGCCCAGCCACCTGCCTAGACCTCTGTAGCCTTGCAGCCTCTACCGGGCTTTAACCTTTCCCCAGCTGCCTGTCCAGACTTTACCATTCATCAGTGAAAAAGGTGACTTTGCTAAACTGGGTAATGGTTTTGAGAGCTGAAAGAATATTTCTTCATTTTCTTGCATGTACTATTACAATAGCACAGCCACAGACATGACACATGTTTAAGTTTAATCTTCACTGTTAACGTGTTCTCCATTACTCTCTTAAATTAACGCAATCAACAAAACAATACATCAAGCTTTGATCTCTAGTGTTTGCTGATTTCCATGGTGTAATTGCTGTCACCAGGGTCAATTCCAAGCTACCAATGTGACATCACTGAATGTACAGCTGGGAAGAGACAGGCAGTACCACACTCCCATAGAGGATTGCTGCCACACAATGTATACAGAAACAACCACAAGGGACATACACAGCAGGAAAACTAAGTAAAAAAAAAAGAAAAATTTCAGAAAATGAGAAATTTTTTAGTGTATTACCTTTGTTTTAATTGATTGGTGTGGAACTTCATATAATTTAATTTTCATAATTAACAACTGACTCTCAAAATTCCTAAATTTGTACTGTTTATCTCTTCCAGCCAGTGGGAATCAGCTCCAGCACATCCCTGGATCAGACCCTCCCTGATGTTGAGCAAGTATTTGTCATTCAGACTCCTATCCATTCATTGATCCTCTACATTTCAAACATGTACAGACCACAGACCCTCATCCACAATTTCAAATTCAACAAAGCTCTGAAAATGGCAGCTGTAGTGTCATTCATTTTATTTTAAATATCATGCTTCCCTACAAAAATATTAATATGCTTGGTTATGGGAGGCTGTCCAACACCTCCACTTGGAGCATAAAATAAAGATCATGTGCATTGTTTTACCTTTGTAAAATCTGAAAATTTTTCAGTCTGATTCACATCTGTTCCCAAGAGTTTTGGATAAGAGATTGTGAATCTTCAATGACCCTCATAATATATATAGTCACCCACCAGTGTCTCCGCACCACCTATGGGATGGAATCTAAGTTCATGAACATGATACCCAAGGCCCTTAAGCACTTTTTAAGTTGCCTCTCATAAAAGTTCCCACCTTGCCCTCCAATATCAAACAACTTCTGGGAATATGACCAACAATGGGTAAAGGCTAAGCTGGGTTCAATCCCACATCTACACTTTACATCATTTGGGAAAGAATCAGAACCCATCTAATTAATGCAGGGGTGAGCCACCTTCCAGCATTTACGCAATCTTCGTTTGGCTCCTTCAACTTCCTAGTCTCCATTTCTCATTGGTAAAATGGAATCATAAAACCAGAGAGGCTGTAGTGAAGATAAAGCAAGTTAATGGATACAAAGCTATTTTGTAATATGCCATATTCATTGGAAGAGTTTTTACTCTTATCATTCCAAAACTGGAATCTTTCTTTGAGAGCAGACATTCTTTAGTGATCCATTATAGACCCAATCTTAAGTGATTAAAGAATGAAAACATTCTTCAAACTGTTGGATGAGTAGCCTGGGATTTCTCATCTCCATAAGAGGAGCTGAAAGTTGAAGTACATAAAGCCCAGTCATTTCCATTACACACTATACAGTGTTATGCTTGAAAAGAGCCTTGTGTGATTGGTGGCATTGGGGAAGTGGGTCTATATAACAGCCTGCCTAACTCACAAGAATTGAATGGATGGATCTCATTCCATTAGAAAAAGAGGACAGGGAACAAGAAGGGCCCCCAGCTCTCACCTTTCTGAGCCTGTGTGCTTATGTTGGTTTTGTTTAGGTTTTTGTTCTGTTTTGTTTTGCTATTGTTATTTTGGGGGATTTGTTTCTTTGTTTGATCATTTTTACTGATACAGTTCTTTCCTTTCCCTACATTGATGCCCTACAAACAAAAATACTGAAATGTGAAAGGTCATTCTAAACCTCTATGCATGACACTCCTTTGACAACAGCCTCCCATCTTCTGCTTGAAAAGTCAGAGTGGCTTGGGAGCCTATTTATTTAGTCCAGATATCTGAACAATCTCCTTTACAACTGGGAGCTCTTTCCATTACAAGAAGATAGTCTGGACCAGATAGCGGGCTTAACAGGTAAAGAAAAGAAATTGTCAAATTCTTACTATGGCAGAAATGTCTGGAATCAGATATTTTCTTGAAAGTAGCTTTAGATGGAAGTTGGGGGGAGAACAAAAGAATTCTGGCAGAAAAGAAGACCAAAAAAAGCACAATAAGATCTGCCACTTAAAGAAGAGAAATGGGGTCCAAAGTGCAAAGGAAGAAAGTCTGACAGCAAACAAGCAAATATGATTGCTTGAAATTCCACATGAATAATATAACTCTCGTTGTTTTCCTTAACATAAATGGATACCACAAAACAAGATAACAAGAAAACTAGTTTGTAGATAGCCCTTACCAACTCTTTGAGTGTCTTGCTAGGTTCAGAGCCAGGTGTAAAACTTGGGTCTTTAGGGCAAAGTTTTTCAGATTTATCTGCAAACTGCTGGTTTCACCAACTATCCTAGTTGAAGTTAAATTAAGCACAGGGAACTATGGTGCCAAGCCTCAATGCAGAACACACAGTCTGGTTTATCTTTGGGCAATTGATATCTAAAGCCTCTGTAATCACTGAAAAAAAACATTCAAATAAATAAACATTAAAAATAGTCAAACTTATATACTAATAAAACCAAATAATTCAGACATGCACTATTAAAGAAACTACTGATCTATTACTTGAGAATCAACAACAGCCACTACCAGATTTTGAAAGACTGCATTTGTGTGTGCATTCTTATAAATAAAATGCATTATAGAATCAAATAGGTAAGTGTTTACTTCTGATTTGACCTTCAGAATTTAAGTAGACATCTGTCTTAATCAAAGCAGACTTTTCATTTGCACAAGCCAAATTTTACTCTGCAGATAGGAGGTAGGGAATGAAATGTGGGTTGATAAAAGTGAGTAAGTGAAAACCTTGAATTGCAGAATTTTTTTTTCATTATAGGTCACCCAAAGATGATAGAGATAGAGATGGATAGGATAGAAATAAAGGCAGAGCTACCAAAAATAAAAGGCCTTTTACTACTAGTTAGTGCTTGTGTACAGAGAAAGGACAATGTCTATTGAAAATCTAGCATTGCATGCTGGGGACTTCGCTAAGAATTTGACACTGTTATCTCATTTAGTCCCCATAATACTCTTCAGGTACATATCATTATCTGCAATACATAATGAAGAAACAAATGCTCAAAAACTTTCAGCTCATTTTCATTCAATTCTTAGAACCCATTTGAAACAATAATATGTGGTTGGTCAGATGGACTCCCAGGTGATCTCGTTCTACATTCCATTGACTGAGGGCTTTTTTTATGCTGGCCTGAATGGTTAACAATCAAGTCTTACTGTCTTAAAACTTAGTCAAAGAAAATGTCCTTCCCAGGGGTGAAAAATTATATGACTCTTCACTCAAGTACAGGAATTAACAAGCTTTTCTGCTGGAGCCTTTGGTGATCATGTTAGCAAACCAGAAAACTTACTGTACTGATTAAATATCTGAAACAGATTTCTAATTGCATTCTCCATGGATTTAATATTATGGATTCTCTAGCAAAGAGATACCTTTTTCCCTTACTATGTGACTATTTTATTTATCATTGAAAAGTTCATAGTGTTCCTAATATTCTCCTAGTAAATGAAGAAAAGGTCAAATAGACACCAGGAGTTTCAGGGCAGGACAGAGAAGTAACACTCTTTCTGGTATCATTTGCAATGAAAGCCCTTATAGCTAAGATAAACCTCAGTTTTTATTCTATTTCTGAACAGGTGCTCAGAGATTCTCTATCCTGCATGATATTCCTGGTTTTGCTGCTCATGTTATTATGCATAAGATAAAATTCAACTGTATATGTTGACCTCATTCATCCCCTTCCCTAACCTGCCTTTCTACTGTACCCAGAGTGGATGGTCAGTAGCCTGATGTGGTTGGAAGTATAGTACTTATAAGAGACAGAGACTGGAACCAGAGAGATCAGTTAGGAGGCTAATGCAATAGTCCTTGAAAGCAATGATGAAGGGCCTAACCTACTACAGCCATAGTGACGGTTGAGTGATGCGACAAGCCTGGAAAACAATTGCAAGGGTCAAACCTAGTCATACCATCAGCCACAGGGCACTACAAAACTTTATTCTCTAATGGAACATGTCAATTGTTATCCTACACAGCAACCAGAAGAAATTGTTCCACAGATTCACCTCCTATTCTCTGATAGAGGCATCAGGAAAGCAAGTGCCAGATTTCCACTGCTCTTCACTTAGCCATAACTACTTACTCTGTCAAGAGCCAGAAGCCTTGAATTATCTCTCCAGAAGTCTTGGCTACGTGGCCTTTCAGGTCATCCACAGCAGTCTCAATGGCCCCTGGCTGAGTGGAAAAAAGAAAATACCTAGTTTAGAGAATACTGAGTCCTCTTTGTGTTTATGATTAGTAAAATCCAGCAGCTCTCCAGAGAGCTGATGGGAAAGATAGTTTCTGTGTTTGCCTGTTTGTTCTAGGCACTGCCTGCCAAGAAGCTTAGTCTTGAACTTTGGTTCCTTACCAAGCTGCTCTCCTTGGGTGGGACAGTAGTGATCCAGATCTGTGTTCCATAATCTTATACTTTCTCACAGAAATGAACACAGCCATTTTAAGAGACCAGTTTTTCCAAACAAACATGCTTTTTAGAAAGTTCAAAGCATTAAATCTACATAACATTTTTAAATCAAACCTTTCCCTTTTCAAAGAGCACACAGCAATTAAACACAAAAGAGACACCTCCTTCCAATATTCTGACTATAACGTTTGCTGATTCTGGGAAGGGAAATGAACTTTTTTATCTCCTTATCTCATTTTCTTCACCCTTCTCCAAATAGGTGTTGCTACTTAGGGGCCTATCTCTAGCTTAAAAATTGATTAACCCCCTTCCTAAGAAATAATTCATAGACCCTCTAGCTCAGTGATTCTTAAACTTCAGTGCACATCAGAATAAAAAACACAGATGTCTGGACACAGTCCCAAGAGTTTCTGATTCAGTAGGTCTGGAGTGGGCCTGAGAATCTGTATTTCTATCAAGTCCCAGATGGTGCTGCTGGTGTAGGATTGTACTAGGAGAAACACAGCTCTCTAGACAGTTATTCTCAACCCTGGCTACATATCAGAATCATGAGGGGAGATACTAAAAATCCTAATGCCCATTCTGTGCACCAAGCTAATTATATCAGATATTCAGGGGATGGGCCCTGCATATAAGTACATCAAGATTTGTTAAAGCATCCCAGATGACTTCAGTGGGGAGCCAGGGTTGAGAACCACCAAGGGCCGGGGCTGACCCAATCTAAGCCATTTCATTTGATAGGTGTGGCAACAGGGGCCAGTGTAAGGAAGTAACCTGTCAGGTTCATTCAGCTAAGAAGTGGCTGAGACAAGAAACCCAGACATTCCATTTCCAGGCTTATAAGGCAGTGCTGGCCTCCCAGCCCTGGACTACTGACACGTAGTTCTCCTAAGTCCTCTATATAATAGGGCTTTAGTACCAAACACCCAGTCTTCTCTAAATATTACCATTCCTCATCCACTCAGCCTGAGACCCTTCTCTAAAAAAAGGAAATGGGGATACCAGCCTGGCTAGGACCCATTCAAATACCTTTCCTCCCAGAGGTGGGTGGTAGTAAGTGAGATTTAGGTTTTTCTTGTTTTCTCAGTCTATGATAAAATATTTTAAAACATTTTGGCCAGAGTCCATTGGTCAGGAAAAATCTTTGAGAATCCATAAGTGAAAAACAGGAAAAGAATGAAGCTCCTTCAGAGGAAGGGGTGGTCAGTGGTGTGAAGCTTTACCCATGTAGCTCTCTCCCTTCCTCCAATTCACGGCCCAAGTCATCCAGGAACCGACAGGACAGAACAGATTGAGTGATCAGATCTGCTGGAAATGAATTCCATCATGGAGAGCCAATTAGCTGACTTTCCTTGGCCTCTTCCTTTTCTAGGAGATAAATAAGGAGACGGCACCAAAGCTCTCTGAGCCACTCGGGTGATCAAACCTCCCAGAAATATTTAAGAAAACATGGTTGCAGCCCTTATGCTGAGGGATCCTGATTTTCTCCTTTTAACAAGTTCCCTGTTGAATTGGACAGTCAGTCAGTAGACTGAGTACTGACTCTTGTCATCCCCCACTGCTGGCTTAAGGGTTGTTAGAAAGATGTATGGCACCCCATGCCTGATGAGATGTGTGTGTCATAAAATCAGCAAGTTTTGGGACATTAATCAAATTTACCTCGAGTGCCCACTAACAGGAGAGGCTGTGCCAACATGCCTGGTTTTGGTGATCCCAGAAGGACTGGACGAGCCAGAAGGGAAACTCCCTATGACCCCATGACAATTCTCCTGTCAGCCAGCCTCAGCACCCCCCGTGATTCAGCCTGACTATACCAGACCCACTGGTCAAAGTTTTCTAAAAGATGCTACTTTCTCTGATGACTCCTCATGGCTATTTTTCCTATCTCTCTTCCTGTATTCACATAATTTCTGCCTCAGCAAATATAAGTTGGTAGTGAAACTTATACTTTGCAGAAGAAAAAACTATAAGTGAAATTGGAGAATAATGAAATAATCCTAAAATAAGCATTTTTGTCAAATGCTTTATGCCAGGCACTTTGCCAAAAATATGTGAGGATGAATATAAGAACACAGAGTTTTTCAAAACCTTACTTGTCTTCCATAAGTAAAGCAATTGGTAAAATCTATCAAAATAATGTATCTTTTGATCCACACATTCCACTTCTGGGGTTATTTTATAGGTATTCTTGCAAATGTGCAAAATAACATATGTATAAATTGTTCTTTGAGGTCTTGTTTGTGGACGCCAACAATTTGGAAACATGAATAGCTAGCTATAGGGAACTTGTTAGATGCATTATGGGGCATATCCTTATGAGAGTGTATGATGGATATGTGAAAAAAAATGAGGAAACCTGTATGGAAAGATTTCAAAATACATGTTTAAGGGAAAGAAAAAAGTGTTCAGAAGAAAGGCCAAATATGCACCTTTTGTGTAAAAGGGAGGAAAAGGGGTAAATAAAAATATTTGCATTTGCTTGTATATATCTAAAATAACTCTAAAAGGGATCCACAGAAAATATCAACAGTGGGCCTCTAAGAGTGGGGAAAGAACTTGATGGCTGAAACAGTGGTTGGAAGTAATGTTTTATTGTACAACTTTTCAAAGTTAAACATTCAAAATAAGATGTGCTCTTTATAGAATGGTTTGGAGGTCTCTGGAGTTCTGTCAGTGTGCTCACCATCTATGGGGTTCTTGCCTTCAGTAGAAACATTGGTCATGCCTTGATGGAACAGGTATGCACTGTACCCTGATAGAGTGTTTTACCCTCCTCTACCAAACTCCAGCCACTTAGTGCTGAAAATGAAATAAGGTGTACAAATACTCTGACTTGTGTTCAAACCTCAGTCTTTCTGCTTATTGTGAGACCCATATTAAGTCATCTCGCCCTTGCATACATTAGGTTACTTATTTGGTAGATGGGTAAGATAATATTAACTATAACAGAGCTGTTAGGAAATGCCAAAAACATTTTGGTAACACCAAATACTAAAAGGCTTTATTATCTTTCTGATTGTTAATATTAAATAGAAAGGAAATAGTCATACCAGGACTTGGGGATCAAATGGTTACTGCAGTGGAATAATTAGCGCTGAGACTCTTTGAAGCCTAAAACTAATAAAACAGTATGATGGAATAATATCCCCTCAACATCTGATAAAAGAAAGCTTAGCAAGGCAGTACACATATATTTCTTATTCTAAATTTTAAGAAAAAAATCATTAGGAGGGAATCTTTACTTATAAGTCATGACATAGCACAGTGGGCAGTACCTTTTCTAATAGTCCAACAGTGAATATCTTCAGTCAAAACAAACCTCCTGGAAGAATTTCATAAGCACGTGTATTTGTTGCCTGGCACTTCCTTGAGCTAGACTAGCCTGGAGTCATTTGTCGTACAAACACCACTTGTATCCTCTGCTAACATTTGCCATGCACTGGACTCCTTAACTGGACAGTGACAGGCAGAGCAGTACACGAAGTGATGGTCCTAGGGACTCAGACACAATAAGATCTCTTTCGTGGGTGCCATCAGGCCCAGATAGGGATGGCTTTGTGGCGAACACATAAGGTAAGAAAACCAACTGTAAATTGAATGTTATTTGTAAAGTGCAGGCAAATTCATGTCTTCCTGAACATGAATGAGATCCATCTTATTTCATTAAATGTCTTTCCTCAGAAAGAAACATCAACTTCGTTACAGTCTTCAAGGGATTTCAGTGCAAGGAGGGGAGCTAAGAAATCTTTGCCTCGTGAGACATATAATTTCCAGACAGAAAGCAGCTCACACAGACAATAACAGTACAACTCATATATTTAGTTGTTCACAGTGCAAGACCGAGACACAGGGAACCCTATAGTAAGAGAAGAGAGAAAGGGGGAGAGTATGAAAGCCAAATTAGTGTCATGAAAGCAATGACATCTTGCTACACAATGGGAAGTCCCAAACCTGCTTATTAAAGTCTCGTTGCTCACAATAGAACACAGACTATAAAAAGGCCATGGGGAACCATTAATTAAATATTAAAAGATCAAATAGTTTTAGTCCCATTAGTTTGTATGCAATTTACATTCTCAAGTATAAATTTAGAGATAATTCCCCATCCCTAATCGCTTTCAACTTTCTGATAAGGAATCTGCAAATATAGAGTCCTACAGGGAGTTTAAAAATATCTTTCCCTATAAGTATTAAGTATTGTTCCTTGCATAAGAAGTTGCTTTTGAATATCAGTCTCCACAACTAAAGTGATTATCATAATATACCTCGAGTTATTAGCCTTGAGGGGTACTTTTGTTCAGAAAAGGCACTAGGCCTTTTTTTAGATATGTCAGAGCAGTAATAGCAGGTGAACAAAAACAGGAGGAAAAGGTTATCCAAGCAGACTGATGGCTAGTGGCTCAGATCTTCATTACTATGATCTCTCATTCACTGTCCAAGGTCAGAGGCAGTGGAACAGCAGTGACCAGTGTGGTGAATCCTCTCCCAGGCCCAGCATGGCCCTTAAGTTGCTGCTTGACCTTGGACAAGGCATATCCTCTTTGTATGTTTCAGCAGTTGGGCTAGATATTCTCTATGGCTCCTTCTGGCTCTGAGCAAGAATTTTGTCAAGCTACGTTGGAAGTGCATAGTTTCAGTAAATAATTTTAGGCTGGGCATCTATGAGCAGAAAACAACATCCTAGACGGAGCCATAAAAGAACACAAGAGGTTAAGGAACCAGACTGACTTCTTTTATGGTCTGGTATTCAGAAGTGTGATCTAATGCATGAGGTTATGGTGCTAAAAATGCCTCTTGTTGGTCCTGAATTAATTAATACTTCCAGAGCAGTTACACCTTTGCATAGCCAGCTTGAAATGCATGTAACTGATTCTCCTTTTTATTGGGTATCTATTCCTAGCACCTAAGAACCTGAGTGCCATTGTGCCTCAGCAAGCCAAGGAATGACTTTCCTTTCCAGGTTAAAAGATATGAACAACCTAAACATCCAACAAAAATAAAATAAATTGTAGTACAGATCCATAGTGGGATGTTACAGAGCTTTTAAAAATGGTGTTAGGAAAGTACAGTTACTGACAGAAGAAATATTTGGCACGTAACCTTGTTTTGTACAACAAAATTGTACCTGTAAGAAAAAAAGTAAGAAAGGAGATAAACCAAAATGTACAAAGATTCACATTCAATATGTTTTGCTTAACTTTGAGCAGTGGGATTATGGCAACCTTTATTTTGCTTATCCTAACTTCCCAGTTCTTTTCAATAAATCTGTGAAATGCTGTTAAAATGCTTATATTTAAAAATGAAAATATTTGACCAAGGAATTCCTCCAGTCATACTTACTGCCCTTCTGAATTTGCAATATATATGCTTTAAATTCTTACACTGTAATAAATATTAATTTATTTTTAATTGCCACATGGGCTCATACAACTGAGAATCAGGAACTGGGAAACTTTGGTTCTAACCCAAGCTTTGCCACTTATTAGCGTCTTGGGCAAGTCAGTGCTCATTACCTATTATGAGATTGGGCAAAAACTCTTCTCAGGGCCTTACTTGCCTTTGAAAACAAGAATGTTAACTAGCTTTTTGGTGCTCAAAGTGGTCTATGAACAGACAGCATCGTTATTGTTAGAGAGTTTATATAAATGCAGACTCTAAGGCCTCACCCCAGATACTGAATCAGACCAACATTTTAACAAGATTTCAGATGATTCCTTTTCATGATAGAGACTGAGAATCACTGAACCAGATCATCTATAGATATAATTTCAGCTCTAAGAAGTGATACTCTATGTTGAATCATTCATAGATCTGAATCATTCACAGTCTCAGTCTTATTTAATTACCCCTGGAGAAAATGAACTAGTTTCTTTCACTCTAACTCTCTACTGCTATAGGCCCTATACATCTACATTTATAGCTTATCCTAGGAATCATGGGGAGGTCATGGGCATCTTAATGTCATTCCCTATGAACAATTACAGAAATGTGAATGTCAAATCAGCAACAAAAAAAAGGAAGAAAGCATTTAATACCAATGAGATGACACTTAAAATGTTAATAGATGTGTCATGCACTATATCAGAATGTTTAAAGTTAGCTTATTTAAACCTCCATATAAAACTGGTGTTTATCCACATTTTGCAGATGAGGAAATTATATATACATATATATGGCCCCCACATTTTCTCATCTACTTCCACATCAGCAGATTTGTGGTTTACAAGAGTTCAAACTGGATCATTCCTTTATATTCAAAAAAAGTTCATCATTATAAGGTTCAGCTGAGCATTAAAGCATATTCTATACTCACATTCTAAAAAGAACTCTTTATATTCTGTTTTCTTGGTCTGAAAGAGAGTAAATGCTGAGGATCTTGGGAATGTAGCCCCCACAGCTCCTAATGAGTCCTCAGGTCTACTTCAGACTCCCTAGTAAGAGTAGAAGAATTTCCCTCCCACACTCTGGAGAACCTAGGGCTGTTTTTCTACAAACCTGATGGAGAGATCTTCTTCACATGGATTGGAGACAGTCATTAACTGACTTTAAAAGGAGCCATAAATTCAGTGATACATTATTATACGAAGAGCACTGGACTTACAGACGGAAGGTAGAGATTCTAGCTACAACTTTTCCACTAATATGATATGATTTGAACAGGTCCCTTCATTTCTCTAAAACTTCATTGTTTACTATTAAAACCAAAGTGGTAAGCCCTCCCCTGCCTACCTCATAGTGTTGGTCCAGGGAACTTGGCTTTATGAGCTACATAGAGTCACACAGGTAAAACATTCAAGTAAATAAAAAAATGAATCTTCTATGGATACTTCATACTGTGTCAATTTAGCTAAGCTGGAACTACATTTTCTAGAATTCCCTTTCCTGTTTTCAAATTAGGGTTGACCACAAGAGACATCTGTGTAATATTTGAAAGACAGAAGTAAAGCCTCAGTTGTTTTCCTTCCTGAAGATCAGTGCAGGCCCCCAGGTACTGTCACAGCTCATATTCCCAGCTGCTGATGTCCAGCACTACAGCTACTTTTGTTACAGGCAGTCCTCTTCCTTCATATTCTCCTTTTCCTGAGCTGGGTAAGGGTGTGCTCAATGGAGAAAGGCACCAGCTTCTCCTGAAAATGACTCATATCTTCAGGTTTTGACTTGGAGGAGACAGACCCAGGTTCCAGTTTTAACTCATGAGGTCAGCTTGGTCATCAGGAATTCTAGTTTGTCCATACAGGTTCCAGTTTTTCCTTATTCCCTATTCCCACTTTGCAGCTGCCAATTGGTTATTCTATGGCAACTTCAGGCCCATCACCAGATGCAAAGATAACAGCTTTGCCTAGACTTCTGAGCCAGCCCTCATAATTGCACCAGCTTCCAATGACAAATTCCCTGTTCTGTATCACTCATGGTTGTTCTGTCATCAAACCCTGACTGATGCATCATCAATAGAAAAGATAAGAAAACTTATTTATTTCTTTCACACCTATATCTTACCACTTATCTTTACATATTCGATAAAGTTCACATACTTTGGAAAACAAACCAAATGCTCTACATATGCAAAAACACTCACAGAAACACACAGATAGTGTAGCACCTACCAAATCATTGTGCGCATTTGAATCACTGAACATAGGTGTGTATTAGCTTCCAACACACACCCCACACACATGTACATGGCCTGCACATGTACACACCCCACACACACATTGAGTCACTTTAACTAAAACTTTATCTTAACCAAGGTATATTGTAAAAGACATCAGAGGGGACTCATTAGTTCAAGTTTCGTACAGTCACAAGTCCTTGGCTACCATTTATTTGTGAGATTGAATTTAAAAACTTTTTTTTTCAACAAAGTGATGCTCCATGTATACTTGAAAACAGATGGTCTCTCTGCCACAGGGCACAGTCTCCAGTTTTGCCCACAACTGACTGTAGCCCATGAGCTAACCACTACTGTGCTAACAAGATTGCTAAAGGATTGGAAAGGAAGATCTTAAGTGGGAAGGAGAGTTCAAGAGAAAGAAAGGTACTCAAAACTCAAGAACCTCTCTCCACTTGATCCAAATGTTGGCAGTTTAAAATATAATTTTTGACATGTGGATATATAAACGCCATCCTCCTTATCCACCTATCCATTGACTCCCCAGATTCAATGCACTGGTCGAGCAGCTCAGCTCCATTCTGCAACTGCAGGTTTGGGGTGTAAAGTGCCAGCTTGCACCTGTGCTACCAGCATGCTGACGTAGACTCCTGAGGTTCACCCCATTCTCAGCAGGCCTTTTCACTTCACCTCCCATGTCCTTAGCAAACATATAACTAACACCTGCTCTGGGCTCACAGCTTTATGGCCTAGCTGCTCAGGTTCTCTTTCCATGCAGCAGGAATCTGTGAGGTGGTCTTCAGCATGAACACAGCAACAGGGAGTCAGAGGTCCATGGAGGCTGGAGGACCTGCATCTCCTCAAAACTACCTGGTGGGCAAACATAGACCACAGACTCTTAACTTCTCTGAAATTCAGATCCTTCACCTATAAAATGGGGATAAGGAACCCTACTTCATGGTTATTATGACTGTTACATGAGAATTTAAAAACTTGATGAAACATGGTAAATAGAAGGATATTAGGACTTTTTTAAAAAAGAAGTCTCACATAGCACTTAAAAGCACCAACAACTTTACCCGGGTAACAAAGTACTTCCGTGAGATATACGGCTGGTGGTAAGGGTTGGGGTAGAGTGTTGACTCAGTCACACTTGGCTGCCTTGACATCTGCGTGGGTGCTGGGTCCTCGCTTGGGTGCCTCTCCTCTGTGGACAGCTGATCCGTCTCAGAGGACTGGTCATCTTCCTCTTGCTTCAGAGACACAAGCTGGAATCCTTCGGAACTCCCAATCATTGACATTTCTTCAGCCTAAAATCAAGGGAAGAAACAATCTTCTCATTTGGAAAGAAAAAAGAACTTCCTGTGTCCTGGCAAAACAAGCTACAGCGAGCCAATGATGCTCCTGAAGCTAACAAATCCACCCCAGGGTAACTAAATAAGGTGTTAATGAGGCTGCTCAACTGTAGGGCCATTTCCAGGAGAGAAGCCGAGACCCCAGGACTGAGAAAAGGAGGCTGCAAGAAGTTGCATTTTCTCATCTTTAATCTAAGGGGACATCAAGCTGAATAAGGGATCCTAGTATGAAATGATTACCAGACAATTTTTCTTCAAGATTTCATAGGATTTTTGCTTAAAAACACACCAGCCTGCTAGCTTATTTATGAGTTAAAGACAATGAGAATGCACCTGGCTATGTGCTCCTTGGGTGGTAGTCATAGGGCACAAGAGCACTTAGAACTGAGCACATTTTGTAACTGAAAAATTGGAATTCTAAAAATTTATCCTGAGGAATTAACTTAGAAAAAAATGCCCCAAGGCATCAATATAGAAGGTTGTTCATCACAACATTATGTCTAATAGCACAACATTGAACACTATAAATATGCAACTTTACATCTAATAGCAAAATATTGTGTACAATAGCATAAATGTGAGACACACAACATTGTGTCTAATAACAAATATGGTGAAACTAAGGATCCAAGTAGGGAGTTGATGTAATACATCATTCCATACAGTGAAATGCAATGTTGTTTAAAATGTCATTACAAATGGGAATGTAAATTTTTATCATGAAAAGATGTACGAAATATATTGTTCATGGAAAATGTAAGCTATAAAATGTGAATAATGTTATTCAAATTTGCTAAAATAATTCAAAATGTAAAAAGAAAGAAGGAAGGGAGGAAGGAAGGAAGGAAGGAAGGAGGGAGGGAGGGAGGGAGCGAGGAAGGGTGGACTTGCATATGTATAGTATGACAGAGGTTTGAAAAAGTCTGAAAAGAAGTAAAATGTTAACAATGGTTATCTCTAGATGATAGGGATACTGGTGATTTTTATTTTCTGTTTTCATAAGTCTTGATGCTTACAGTTATATATGACAAATAAAAATAAATTGATTCTATTCTGTGACTACAAAGGTACATATAAATATATACAAATTTTGTACATAAAGTATAAAACAAAACAAAATAAAATTGAAAATGCATGCTAGCCTCGTGAAAAGCACCCCTAAATCAAGTTGCCATTCTCAAGCTCAGGCCAGATAGTCACCGACCCCACAGTTACTTGCAAGGAGGGTTTCATGCCCAGCTTCCCCTTGTGCCTGAAATGCCCTGTGTGCCTCTTATTCTCAGGGCTTCCTCAGTGGTTTTAGTCAGACAAATACAATTTCCTTGGTCCTTGTGAAAGCCCAGAAAGCAAGACACAGCCCCCAGCAAGTGTTCATTCTTGGAACTGGAATTAATTAGAGTATTCAATAGAGGTAAAAAGAGAATGACCGTATAATTTGTTGTCTAAAGCTGGACATTTTTAAACACAAAAAGGGTGCTATTAACAATTATACCAGGGTGATAGGAGTAAACTGGGATTATCTCAGGCAAACATGAGCATATCCAGTCACTCTGAGGGGTTTGAATGTAGGAGAAATAATGGAGGCTTGGGGGAGCAGCAAATGAAAAGCTGCCACAGATCACGTCACAGATCATCCCAACTGATCCTCCCAGAAACACTACAAGGATGATCGTGTCTCCATCTCTGGGGGTCAGAGCTGATGGGACCCACCCAGGGTACACTTGGAGAGTTGTGGCAGCATCTGTTCTCCCACCAGGGACTCCTGACCTTGCAAGTCCAGCACGCCCACCGTGACACATGCAGTCTTATAAGGGGAAGGCTGCCCAGAGCTTTCAGGTAATTTTTTTAAAGGTAGGTGTACAAAAGGCAGAGGTTGGCCTGTGAGAAATACAAGCGCACATGGAGAAGCAGGAGTGTGTGTGTGTGTGTGCGCGCGCATGCATGCGCACACGCACTTTGGCCTCCCGAGCTACACACTCTATTTATGGAGGTCTGCCACCTCTGTCACAGTGGGTGCTGGAAGGAAATGCATTTCTAGAGTTCCCTGCGACCTGTGAAGGAAAGTTTGTGCCTTTGGGGAAGGAAAGCCTGCTTCTGTATTTGCCACACTCTGTGAACACACGCCCACCAACAGACATCTGCAAATGGCTCCTGCTCCGGTGCCTGGAAAACAGAGGGAGGATTTAATTAGCACCACTTCCTCTCCCTCAGGCGGTCTTCTCTGGAAACACTTGGGGAAGGGAGTGAGAGTGCTTTGAGACTGAGCTGTTTGAGATCCAGGAAAGAAGGAAACTTGCAGTTCCAGCTAGATTTTTATAGCCACGAACTGTAGGAAAGTTGAGCCCAGCCACCTTTATGCCAGCTCAATCCCAGCTGTGTTCCAGCCATGAGGACATCTTCGCAAAGACAGTGAATGTAACTCCGTTATCAATCTCCCCAATATGCCAGGAGCGCCAGGTACCTATGCAGCCCACTCACTCCATCCTTCACCACCCTCTGACCAGAAGATGTTTATTACCCATGCAATAAAATGTGCTCTTCTATCCCTGCAGAAATAAACTATATACATTGAAATACTAAAAATATATTAATACCATAACAAACCCAGTGGAATTTAAATGTGTCCATTGCTTTACATGGGTAAATTAAGCCTTGCACCAGATCCATCCAGAGTCACTTGGAATTGAAAAGGATCACCATTTCCTAAGGTTCCCAAGGCGTCCGTACTTTTTGACCAATCTCATTCCAGGGAATTCATGTTATGAAAAATTATCCTACAGAAGGAAAAGACTACAGTATTAATTGCTTATTCTGGGTGGTAATGAAAAATTGTAAAACAACTAAATGCCTAATGTGCAAGGAATCACAAAGTCTAGCCAATTGATACCGTACAGACATTTAGAATAACATGTACAAGCACTACAGCAGCATGGGAGTAAAGAGTGGACCTTCTTATGTGAAGAGTTAAAAAAAGCAAAAACAAAAGAATTTTGCTGGTAATGATGATTTGAGTAATTTTGACACTGGTGAGACCAGAAGAGAAATATTTAGATTTATGGAGGTTGTTGGATTTTAAGTTAGTTTTTTGCTTTAAAAAAAAAGTTAAGTCTGTTAGTGTTGCTTTTGTAACAAAATATGAAATGTATAACTATATATATATACACATTAATTCTCAAACTCAGGAGCTTCCTGGGTATAAACTGAGATTGGTTCCAGTACAAAGAGGGCAAGGAGAGCTGGAGGAAAGAGGCAGGCCACTCCACATTGCTACGTGGCAGCTTTAATAAGCAAGGGAACTTAGTTCCCATGCTTGATTCGAGCAGACCTCTGTGCCCACATCCCAAAATCTTAGTTTCTGTAGAAGCCTTAAAGGCTTCACTCACATATTCAGTCCAGATGGTCTCACAGAACCTCACCCTCTCATCTCTGTTCTTGCAAAGGGATCCCACTGTGGGCATGGTAGGTGGAGCATACCTTCCAAGGACAGGGAGACTTAAGGAGCTGCGGATTGCCCCAGGCCAGGCTTGAAGGTCAATCGGAGGCCACATCCTCCAGAAGACCTCATCCAACGTAATGCAATATAAATACTAAAGAAGTGCTACCTGGCGTTTGGTCAGGCGATAAGAATTCTTATTTCTCAACTGCCAGCAAATTCAGAGCTGAATTTAATATAGTATTGCAGTAAATAATTTCTGGATCCTGGTCTAAAGATACCTGCCTCCCTTTATATACTGTCATCTTTTCCTAACAATATTTCAGAAGCATAGAGGACATAAACTACAGCTAGAGAATTAATGTCTAGTCTAATTCCTTCATTTTGCAAATTTTGAAACAGAGGTGAAGGACTTGCCTAAAGACAGACAGCTGAAAGAATCATAGCGTGAAATCAGACTCCTGGACTCCAGTTCGCTGCTTCAAGTAGTAGCGTTTAGAAGAAAAGCAAAGAAGTAGTCATCAAACTGGAGCACAGGTAAACCAGAGGCACTTTTGCCCAGTATCTGCAGCAGGCAGCTGTGCTTTGCTCTGGGCTTAGAGATACAGCCCCCATGAAGTAGGACTCATGCCCAGCTTCCCCCAAATCTGCAGTCCCACAGCCAGGGCTGCAGGCTGAAGCTTTGTCCTTTACTGGGCCTTAGGATGTATCCAGTAGGTACAGGAGGTACTGTGCCGGGAGATTCACAAAACTTTTAGGGGCTGGGGAAGTGTTTTAATTTATTTTAAAATCAGAAGAGGAAAATGAAATTTTATGTTTGAAAAAATATTAATTTTTTCTCATGTCCAGGAAGAAAGTGAAATTTGGGAGTCACCAAAACTACTACATTTTGCCTAAAACCAAAATAAAATAAAAATGAATTATTTAAAGTTTTAATATTTAATAAGTTTTAATACTGATATTATTGCAGTAGAGTAGTCCAGAAAGGCAAAAGAGTTTGAGGCCCATGGAAGTTATAATGTGGCCCTGACTCGAATCTCTATCCTACTACTCACTTTCCCTGCGTAATATTCTATTCTGGGGCTCACTCAGAGACAGACATATCCCCTCATTCCAGCCCTTTCCAATCTCTTTATCCTGGGGGATTCTGTTCCACGAGGTCATGAACAATTTCTGTCCTGTAGACAAACTGTGCAATCCAAGAAATTACTCTCACTTTCTTAAAATCAAAGAGAGACCCCGCATAGTCACCCCCCCTCCCCCTGTAAATACTTGTTTCGCAGAGAAGCAGATGAATAACTACTCTGAGAACCACCCAGAAAAGGAAGAGTCTGGGGATTGTGTTTCCCCTCTCACAAGAGTCCAATAAAGATCAGCTTGCACAAAACGAGAAGTATCATAGTTCTGGCCAAGAAAACAGGATTGACGTCAAACACAGACACAGGTAGGCCTCAGGGCTGTTGCAGGACGACCCTCTTCCTGGGGGCCACGCCACTCCCCTTGACTTCGGCACTACCTTCCC